AGTAGATAATTGATGCACAAATGACTTATTTGATTCTGACAGGTGACTGGTAGACACATAATTACTTAACGGGTATAACACATTAAACTCAGGGTTGGGCTTACTCACCGGATACCTAGTTTTGCATTTAAGGTCGGCTTCATAAGTAAGTTTAGGAATACCTCGGTTGACACGATCAGGGAGACGACGAGGTGGTGGTGCATCCGGGATCGAAGATGATTGATTATGGTTATTGGGACTCAAGATCAACTGTGAGGTAGCTGGCGACACAAGGTTGTCCGGTGGTGAGGAAACTGGTAATGAGCTATCAGGCAGTGAGTTATCTGGCGATGTCGACTCATCCATTTCAAGGTTTTCAACATTCTTTCCATGTGAATGATCACCACTTATCTCCAAGACATTACCACTTAATTCCAATTCATTCACATCATTATTTTCATGTGAATGATCACCACTTATTTCCAAGACATCACCACTTAAATCCAAATCATTCACTCTATCCATATCTGGAATAGTATAATCAAGAGTTTGAACTTCTTTCTGATTCTCCCCCTGAAGTGAAGACTCGGGATTGGCAAAGTACATATCATTCTCATGAAACGCAACATCCATAGTGACAAACAACTTATTCGTCGGTGGGTGATAACAACAGTATCCTTTCTGCCTTGATGCATACCCCACAAACACACATCTAAGGCTCGAGGTTCAAGCTTACTTCGTTGTTGTTTATGAAGATGAACGAAGGCCACACAACCAAACACATGAGGTGGAAGATTAGGGACTGCAGGAGCATCGACATGTGAAGAAAGTGCCTGAAGGGGTGTCTGAAAATCAACCGATCAGGATGGAACACGATTAATGAGATACGCAGCTGAGGTGAGAGCTTCTCCCCAATAGGATAACGGGAGACGAGCCTCAAGTAAAGAAGCACGAACAACCTCCAGAAGCTGACGGTTCTTACGTTCGGCAACCCCATTTTGTTGTGGAGTATATGGACATGTAGTTTGATGAACAATCCCATGATGATCAAGAAAGGCACGAAGTTCAGAGTTAACATATTCGCCACCATTATCACTCCTGAGAACCTGTATTTGTGACTTATATTGTACTTGTACCATTTTGTAAAACTGTTGAAACAAAGAAGTAACTTCACCTTTGGATTTCATCAAACAAACCCAAGTCATACGTGTGCAGTCATCAATAAAAGTAACGAACCAATGAGCACCACCAAATGTAGCAGTTTTAGATGGACCCCAAACATCAGAATGAATTATCATAAATGGAACAGAACTTTTATTCAAACTGGATGGAAACGAAGCACGATGACTTTTAGCTAGTTCACAAACACCACATTTAAAGCTAGAAACATCATGCTTAACAAATAGGCTAGGAAACAACCTCCGTAGATAGCCGAAAGAAGCATGTCTAAGTCGACGATGCCACAACCAAACCTCCGAAGCTTTATTCCTATCCCTTGGATTTCCGTCCACTGCAAGAGCGTGAGTCAACATTCGAGAGCTGTTTGATGTCAGCTCCAAGTAGTAGAGCTTCCCCTTCCTAATACCATAACCAATCGTCTTGCGAGTCCGAATGTCCTTAAAAACACAAAAGGAAGGCCAAAAAATCACAAGACAATGCAAGGCGACAGTTATTTGAGCAACAGATAATAAATTATAGTCAAGAGAAGGAACAACAAGCACGGTATCAAGACTAAGGGTATTTGACAGGGAGACAGTGCCTTCTCCAATAATGGGAACAACATTACCGTTGGCAACACTCACAACAGTTTTGGTAGGTGGTTTTAGGATTTGTACCTGTCTAGATTCACAAGTCATATGTTCAGTAGCACCGGAATCAATTATCCATGTATTATTCGTAACAGATGCAGAAACTTTTAAAGCCTTACCTGTGTTACCTGTATTAGAATCTATTTTCGATTCGACAATCGACGTACACGACTTGTTACAGTAGGGATCACAAGTCTTGAACTGTTCTCGATCGGTCTTACTCCCATGTCCAGTTCGGACAAATCCATTTGAAAAAGGACAAGCACGAGCAACCATTGTGAAGTGGTTGCACGTGTGTACGGGAACCAAATGCAGCAGCAACTATGAGGCCCCAAAAACAAATACTAGTAATATATATATAATATATATATATATATATATATATATATATATATATATATATATAAGTAACCCTTCTTCCCTTTTTTTTCGCAACAGCACAGCAATCCTTTTTTCCTATTTCGCAACAGCAAGCTTTTTTATGCTATTCTTCAAACAGCAACAAGTGGGTCACTGGGTTCAATCGAATCTGGGCATGCAAAACAGATACACAGGTTGAAATCTGGGACAAATTTCAGGCAGTGGGTTGAATCTCGGTTCGTGGTGGTGGATGCAGGGAGCGGCTCGGTAAACTCGGATCAGCAACGACGGCGTCGCTCGCTGGTTGATCGGCGCACTGCACAACTGGGTGCGTGGCGGGTAGTTCGGGTTCTCGGGTCAGCAACGACGGGGTCGCTCGCTGGTCGGACGGCGCTGCACAACTGGCTGCGCGGCTGGTAGTTATGGTTTTCCGTATAGAGCACAATCTCGTCTCTTTTTTTTTCAAAAACCTAGGCTCTGGTGCCAAGAAGAGAATGCTTTGAATGATGATATATTTTTCTCAATAAGAGGAACTTATAGATGTACAACCCTAACATAAAAGGAAAGAAAACTAATTACAAGTGATTACATGGGATTACATATCAATTAAGGATCCTACCTAAAATACAAAAGTCAACAGAGCATTCACATTATGAGAACCTTGTAACTTACCTAAGAAAGGGGGATCAAAACCTGACTTATAGGATGCAACTGCTCCACCTATCATGGTAGCAGTTGCTGTCAGTTTCTTCAAGTTTTGTAACTATCTTCCATTCGTAATGTGTACAAGTTATATGGTTTTCTCACTTTATATTAAATGTGTACTCAATGTATATATTGTATACTATAACCATATTTCCTTTATTAAATGGTTTGGACCATTTCTCACACAAAAGTTCTTACAGCAATTACGGCTCATACTTCATGCAGAAACTAGATGGTACGAATAAGATGGGGCTTCTTTGAGAGAAAAACTTATAGCCGCCTTTAGAATGCTTGATTAGGGTGCATTCGCGGACTCGATAGATGAGATTGCAAGGATGGGCACATCAACGGTCTTGGAGTGCTTGAACAGATTCTGCAGGCAATCGAAGCTATACACACCACTGAGTATCTCTGTAGTCCAACACTTGCGGAACTCCACACGTACGCTACTACAAAAAGCTGAGGCACAAGGTTTTCCAGACATGATTGGAACCATCAACTGTATGCATTAGCAGTGAAAGAAGTGTCCAAGTTCCTGGTAAGGAGATTTTGGGAATAGGAAGGGGCATATAAGTATCATTCTAAATGTTGTTACGTAACGACACCTGGATTTGGCATGCTTTCTTTGCTGTTGCATGCTCTCAAAATGACCTCAACGTGCTCGGTTAATTCCCAGTGTTCAAAAACATCTTCAGTGGGGATTCTCCTCAAATAACATATGAAATCAATTCTCTCACATACTCGATCAGGTGGGTATTACCTTGCAGATGGAATCTATCCACGTGGACAATGTTTGTCAAGACAATTTCACAGCCCCAATTCGAGCAGCAACAACACTTTGCCTAAAAGCAAAAGGCGTATAGTAAAGATGTGGAGAGGTGTTTTGGTATCGTTCAAGTTTGTTGAGCAATTTTAACGGGCACTGCTCGTTTGTTCAATCAAGAGGGGCTTCGAAGTACGATGATGATGTGCATTATACTTAATAACATGATTGTGGAAGATAAGTATGATTATGATGTACTAAAAGTGTTCGAACCGGACCCGATGAACACAACAACGACAAGACTTTATGATTCACCTAGGGTGTGCCTTGGTGGACAACCTGTGCAACACACCCATTATTAAGAGATGGTCATTTGTTCAGCAGAATGATGGAACGTTATACTGAAATGCAATGTTCTTATATTCATGACGAACGTCAACTTGACTTGATCGAACACAATTGGAGGTTGAAAGAAAATCAGGGAGATTGAATTGTCCTTTGGTTCATGCTTTCTTGACTTGTGTCTTTTTTAATGCTTTGTTGAATGATAATATTTTTAATGCTTTGTTGAATTATGTTTAATAAAAATGCTTGGTTATTTGTTGGAATTTTTTTTAATTCTTTTTACTTGGTTATTAATTTTCTGATTTTTTGGATAATTTTTTTTTCTTTAAATGTTTTTATTTCAAAAAATAATAAGAACCGTTTGATCATAGTGAGAATTTAAAATGGACGTCTGAGATGTGGCCACGTGGCTTAAATATTGTCGTTGGATTCAACTGACCATTGTGTGCGGGCCACAAGCGTAAGGTTGTGGTGCGCTACCCTGCCTCACTGGCACGCGTGGTGCCTGCGCCTAACGTTAAAAAAAAAAAACTAACCCACCCACTGACATTAACCCGACGTCCGCGTCATGAATATGGGCTTGGACTCATAATTGACATGGCTGGAACCATGACGGCTCAGCCTTGGCGCCCAAAAAATGGGTGGAAGGGTTTTCTGGGTTGGATTTGGATCTAGCCTTGTCAATTGAGGATGTGTTGAAATGCTCTCAGAAAATGCTTATTGTGTGTATCCAAATCCAACACCCCAACACAACACGTGGCCCAATGACGCCATGGATATCAATTGACAGAACGACTCGAATTTAACCAAAAGCACGCTTGAAACGACAGACTTTCTTTTATTATGAAAGCACTTTTCTGAGGAATAATACTTAACTACTCAAAGATAACGGTGTACCTCTGCCATATGAATACATTTGGTGTGACACTGCACCGGCTGCGGTGACGATGTACCTCTGCCATATGAATACGTATGATCATGTGTTTCCCACATTATTAATCAGAGGGAAAAAAGGAAAAGAGAGAAGGAACAAGGGCATAGACAATGTAGACCAGTTTTAATGGTAAACAAATTGAAACCAACTAAGCAGGTTCCAGAGTATGAGAACGGTTCCATGTTCGAAAATGCATAGTTATTCTACAATCATAGCAAAACCCTGCTAGCAAATGGTACGCCACATATGGTTCTGTTTAGGCATACATGCATTGCATTGCATTGTTTGAAAGAAACCGAATGAAAACCACAAACGAAAACACAACCGTGACGCGTGCATAACAAGAGACCCCACAAGTCTCGATCGCAAGTGACCTTTGCTCAGACCAGGACTCACTTCCCCCCACATTAACAAATCATCAGCATGAATTAGGTGACAAAAGTTTCAGGTTCATACAATTGACGGAGAGGTTTCTTAAGGATGCTGAGCAGACATTTGACAGACGGGAGGCATGGTGTTCCATGGACATGAACTAAAACCCAATCCTTGATTTGATGTAGGGTTGCCAGAAGCCAGGTGCTTGCATTCCGCTGCCAAATCATCACCCAGCAGCGATGCAATACTTTCATGCATGCCGTTACCAAACCATTCTGAAGCAAGTATAGCATCAGGACGAGTATAATCCATAAGAGGTACAATTTCTTTTTCTTTATCTGGAGCCCAAGCTTGGTCTACAGGTTCTGATTTCACATTGCAACCTGGTAGAACAGTCAAACAACATAAGTCATAACAAGAGGCAGGACAGGACTTATCCTGCATGTAGATACAGAACTTATCAAACTGCTAATACAAAAAATGTTGCTACAGGACTATCAAGAATGAATTAAGAATCAATTTACAATGTTATTGTCAACCTCATTCGTCTCCAGGTCGAATAGATTAAGATACTCACCAGTAAAGGTCTCAGCAGGTGGCGGTTCATCTAATGAACTTCCACTGGCACTAATAGGTGTACACTCACTAAACAGCGAAGTAGCAGAATGACCCAGTGGAGAAATCGGATCTCGATTTTCTTCCCATTCTGCCTCACAAATGTTCAAATTGGAACCTTTAGCCACATCGCCAGGAGTAACACTAGATGAATTTGAACTCTTCTCACATGGATGATTCTTCGCACTACTAAGAGCTTTTGCCTCGTGGAGTAAAGCATCTAGCAGGCCACTGTTACGTGGTGAAGTGCAATCTGGCTCAAATGTACCAACCTGTGGGGGTGATTGGATAAAAGCATCAATTGCTTCGAGTAAGGGCGGCGGAGGAGAAGTGCTCCAGCTACCTAAATCAGTTTCTGGATATTGGAGTGAAGGGAGCTCCAGCTTCACGGCCCCGGATGTGGGCTTAGAAGCAGAAGAATTGCCATTTGAAAGGGAATGGCTACCCTGAATTACACCAAAAGACAGCGGACTCCTGGTGGTAGGATCAGGATCATGAGGAAAAGGCAACCCAAACGTTCGAGCAACTTTATCACAAGTATCATTTTGAAATTGATCAAACTGGGGGAAACCTTTTTTGAAACTACCACCAGAAGTAGAGAATAAAGCTGTTGATTCTCGAAGACGCTTTTGGCGATGCATTGTTGGTGGCATAAAACCACAATATGGAGCAGAACCAAGGCCTTTCATCAGCATGCCACCAGGAGAGATATCAGGGAGGTCAGGAACATAAGGTAAGACACAACCGTTTCCTTTTAAACTGTCAAATACAACATCAGGTATCTCAAAACTGTTAGCTTGCATAGAATCATGCTGCACTCTGTCCACATCATTAATTCCACCGCTTGACTGGCCTTGTTGACTCTCCTGAAATGCTTGCAAACACACCTCGGGCGGATAAAGTGGTAAGCCAGCCCTCTGGCGCCGCTTAATTCTAGTATTCCAGTAGTTCTTTATCTCATTATCCGTACGTCCAGGCAACTAAGGAGTGGAAAAAAGAATCTTAATCATTTCCAATAAACAAAGGAAAATACATTGAGAAGAATACTACGAAAATTAAGATTCTAATCAAGCTGACAATAATTGATAATTTATTTCATCTTCAATTGGAAACTAGTGTAAGAAAAAACCATTCAAGGAACCCAAAAAATAGAAATAGTAAAAAGTAGTACCAGTCTGTGAAGAACATTTAGGTGAGGTGAGATATGTTAATATGGTGCATCCGCTACAACATGCATTGCGTGCAACAGTGAGCTTTTATTTTGTTACATTAGTTTCCTAACATACACACTTTAATGATCTCCAATTTTTAGCTTAAAAATAATGCCATATATTAATTTTCAATCTCTTACCCTATGGTAAGAAAATATACTTTACTCTTTTAGGGATGCAAAGTATAATGTCATATTATACATTTCTGTTACTGCATTCTACCAAGATTTTATAGTTTCCTTAAAATTCCCAAAACATATTAAACATAAGAAACAAGAACAAACTGTAGTAAAATACATACATATGAATACCACATAGACTACAAAAAAATTGATAGATTCCACAGCCAAGTTACTTCCATCTGAGAAGTTGTGGAGAACTGAGATCAATGTCACTTAGAATCCTATCAAACTAGGGAACTGTTACTGTTATTTTTTTTATGATTTTACTGGCTTTTAATTTTGTTTCTTATTGTGTTCTAGAAGCTGACAAATATAATGACAACATTGCAATGTAATTAGGAAGTTTGGAGGAAAATAAGGGAATAATTGGAGAATATATCAATGCTTAATGCAAAAGATGCATGCCACTAACACCAAATCAAAAGTTGCAGCTAAAGCTTTGAAAAAAATAATCCCAAAAGAATGAACCATATAAAACTAAGTTTGAGGCAATACAAGGAAATATAGGTTGGTACGAACCATATACAGAAAGACAAAAATAAACTATGTACTTACGTGTGCAGCCATGCGTGCCCATTTGTTCCCCATCTTGGCATGGAGTTCAACAATGAGACGTTCTTCTTCAGGAGTAAATGCCCCTTTCTTCAGGTTTGGCCTTAGGTGATTTGCCCATCGCAACCGGCAGCTTTTGCCACAACGGAACAGGCCTGAGTGCTTCTGAACGGCATTCCAGTTTCCCTCCCCATGCTTCTTAACATACTCCACCAAAATTGCATCTTCAGCCGAGGTCCATGGCCCTTTCTTTAGAACCATTCCACCATTTCCACTTCCTCCATTACTCTCATCCATCAACGGAGAATCAATCTGATCCTTGGACAGCACTCCATCTTCACTCTCATTTGTTGTCCGACTCATCTCTTGATTTGTGATCAAAACTCCTACCAAGAGCAAAGATCATGCAAAGAGCAGGCTGACAACCTGGAATAAAAAGAGAAAAGAAAATGACAACAAACACAACCGTAGCGCCAATCGCGACCCACTTGTTTTACATTCACTCCAGCTCCGGGCACAAACATTTAATTATGGATCAGAACCCAAAAAAAAAAAAAAACAAACAAATAGCCAGTGGTTTAAACAGAAATTTGCTCATGTCATAAATACAAACGACACCCGATACTCCAAAGGACACAAATATTAAAAAAATAAAAAATAAAGGAACCCGTAAACAGAAAGAAAACAGTAAGGAAAATCATAAAAGCAGGTCCTGAGAGGCAATATGGGGGTAAATATGGCATCATAAATTATCCATGCAGTCATTATTCAGCACTAATGATGAGTAATTAACAACACTAAGATGCAAATTAATGATATGTTCTAAAATGCAGAATTTTAAAACCCACAAAAGGATAAGCAGTGAGTTATATTCAAAGGTCGAATTAAATCCTTTTAACCCCATTCAGAAGCCAACAAAGAAAAAAACAAGGAAAGTGGGTTAATATAATAAACAACACAGAGACAAACCCATATCCAAATCATAATTAAATCGGGATTAAACACACTTAACAAAACAAAAAACAATTGACTTTGTTGATTAGAACCAAGTCTATATATGGCAACCACATTAATTACAATATGGATGATAAATATTGAAACCCTCAGCTGAATTAATTGAAATTTATACACAAACCCAATCACATCAAAAACCCGTAAATTTACATACCTGAATCAGAGGGAAGATGAAGCCAGATGCAAATTTATCCAACAATTGAAGCTGCGGAATCCACCCAAAGCCAAAGACACGTCCTTTTGCGCGCAATTGAAAACGAAACCGAAATCGGAAGCTCAAACGTAGGGTCGGAATAAACTAAGAGCTGAGAAAATCGTGACAATGGAAAACCTGGAATCGACGAAAAAGGTCAGAATTCAGACGAAATCAGCTCGGAAAAGTGAGAAATTGAAGAAATGAAAGCATAATTCGTTCTCGAATCGCAATTCTGAGAGCTCCGGCGTGTACCCAAATGCGAATTGCATCGAGTCGAATTGTGGGTTTGCAAACTTACAGATCCGGAAAAATGTAAACCCTAGCTGAAGAAAACGAAAGCAGAGATTGAGGCCAATAGGAATCTAACCGCAGTTTTTGAAATAGGAGAGAGACGATTCGAGCGTAGACAGAGCAACACATCTGCGGACTGAGACGGAGATCCGAACACAGATATACACACACCAACACACCCACACCCACACCCACAGAGTTCCCCAATACACAGATGAGAGAGAGGAGAGAGAGATGAGAATTTTGAATAAATGGGAAAAAAGGGATAAAGAGAGAGAAAAAATGAAAAGGGGAGTAATGCGAAATTGGGAATTAGAAGAAAATGGGGATTTGAGAAGCGAAATGGCAAGTGCAGAGCGATGTTAGGCTGAGATAAAGGAGGTGACTGTAGACTCCCAAGTCCCTGACACCTCTCTCTCTCTCCTCTCCCTCTCTCCTCTCTCTAAACTCTCTCTTCTCCACTTTTCCCTTCCTTTTCTTTTTCCATTTTTCTTCCTCAATTATTTATTTTATTTTAGTTTAAATATATAATAGCAATATCTAGGGTTTTTTTTTTATAAATAAAACTTCTTTTCTTTTTCAAAAAAAAAGGAGACAACGGGTGACAAGTCACGCTTATCCATCCTTCCAGGATTGGGAGGCTATGAGGAATTTCACCATGCCGAAGATTGAGTAGAAGTTCATACTCAAAATTATACGTCGCTGATTCACAAAATTTTGTGCATATAATCAGAACCGTTCATATTATAAATCACTCTATAAGTATCGCTTTTTACAAAAAATCAACTAAAACTAATGTTGTTTAGTCGTTGAACTGTATAAAAACAGATGAACGAAATTTATAAAAGCATTATGAGTCATCTATGTATTTACTACAGTAGACTGACTAAACGATAGTTTTAATTCATCTTTTGCAAAGATGATATTTACATAGTGATTTATAATATAAACGGGTTATAATCATAAATACAAAACTCTGTTATTCGAACATGAAGAGTTTTGAGTAGGAATTTCTACTCATCCATTCATCCTTGACTAGCTAAACATTGTACTTTTTTGAGCAACTGAATAATATTTTCTATTTTTGGTCCGGCTTTGATTAATGAAAATGATAATCAAACCCTTTTTTTCTTTCTAATTTATATCTTTTTGTTTAATTATTTTTGTTGTTTGTGTATGATTTATGCAATTTGATAACCTGAATTAAAGCGCAGTGTGTGAAAGGAGAAAAATTATATGTAGTTATCATTTATCTTGATTAATTTATTTCACTTGTGTTATTTTTGTTTTTTATTTCTTCCCAAATGGAATTTGAGTTTGACTCACATTGTTTGAATGACTCAAAGCATAGTCTTACACTTCCTAGTGTGATCATCAGTGTAAATTGGTAATGAGTTTATTGATCATGGAACATTTCTTGATATTCTCCTTATATGAAAACATCATGAAGCCTATAAACATATACATATATAGTTATGGTTTATAATCTCAAACTACAGATATAACACAAGTGGCATGTAGTTCAGTTGGTTAAGAGTAATTGCTCTTTCATCCGAGTTCTCGTGTTCAATTCCCCATCCCCGTAGTTTAAATAAATTTAGTGTAAATTATCTTATTGTTTGCCCAAAAAAATGTAGATGTAGCTCTAAATTACAAAAAAAAAAAAAAAAAAAAAAAAAGAAAGAAAGAAAGAAAGTAAGTAATTATAGGTTTTTCAAATATTTTTTAAACTACTTAAGTATTTCAAAGTTATCATGAGGGTAATGTAAATCAAATTTAAAAGCTTGAAAAACATAGTTTTGTTGTAGTGACCTCTTCGTAGTTTATATGAATTTAGTGTAAATTATCTCATCGTTTGCCTAAAATATGTAGATATAGCTCTTATTGTTGTTAAATTACAAAATAATAATAATAATAATAATAATAATAATGAGTTTTTTCATTCTAATATTTTTTAAACCAAGTATTTCAAAGTTATCATGAGGTAATGTAAACCAAAGCACTTGAGGTTAAGTTCAAGTTGTGAGGGTGGGTGAAGAAAAAATGAATTGCTATTGGCCTAGCGTTTATTTTCCACCATGGTAATCACATCAAATAATAACCAATAACCTCGCTAATGGACGATAAATACACAAAAAAATTTCTTCTCTCATACAACTCTATTAAATTTTAGCCCTTTAATTAAATAAATCAAACGGAAAAACATATAAGATTAAACAAATATATGTATAGAGAAAATAAAAATGTGTGGTTATCATTTCTCCAAATTATTTGTGAGTCTAATTTATAAAAAATAAATTATATTTTATGGGATTGCACCAATTGGGAAAAGGCACATGGAAATTTATATTTGTGGATATGTAGCTATCGGGCCTGCCAACCTCGGGTGCCATATATGAACAATTGCTTTTTCTTTTTTGAATTTGGCTAGATACTTTCCGTATGTGGATGTATTTCAACTATGCTTTATTTAGTTTTATAAATTTATTATAGTCATGTTCTTCTTTTATTTAATTTTACAAATTTGGCCTAGATGAAAAATTCAACTTTGGAAATTGGAGTTTGTTGATGCATAAAATCGGATCGATCTTGTACCAACTAAATCCAACAGTAAATCAATCATACGCATAAGAACATAACAAAATATCGTGGTTTACTCCAATGTGAACATAGCCTCAACTTGAGACGAACCATGACATTTCGTTGTGTTATAATGCGTATGTGTGATTTACGATCGGATTTAATTAATCCAAGATCAACCCAATTTTATGAATCAATAGAGTGCATTAGATGGTGTGCCATGCTCATGCTTGAGTTAGTAAAAACATATCTAAAGTTCCACTATCAACTTGCGTACGCCAATGTCTGCAATGAAAAATGGAACGTTAATATTCCAATATTATTCTATTTTTCCGTTGGTATTTTAAAAATTGTTTAGCAGAAAAAAGAGTATGTTAATTCAAGATAGGTGTCCAAACCAAAAGAAAGTAAGTGTGTTCTCAAATCTCAATCTCTCTTTATCTTTTTTTTTTTTAACAAACGATATTATCTACACTAATGTCACGTGAGACTGGGTTAAGCCTTACAATGAGTTAGCAATAATGTTGTTCAAATTTACCTTTGACGAGAATCGAACATAAGACATCTCATTTATAAAGAGAAATACTATTAGATCATAATACTAAGTATAACTCTCTATCTTAATAGTATTAAGAAAGTTAACTACATTCCTTTTATGTTTGGAGTGATTTTCAAACACAGGTAATGATGTTTTAATTTTTCCTCCTTGCACCCTGAAGTTTTGGAATTGTACTATTTTACATCTTTCATGTCTTTGAATATCTAAGCCTTTATTAAATTGATGAGTTGTCTTTGTCAATATGGTATACATGTGGCTTACACATTAGTCCATATAAAAACAAAGAGAAATTAGGTTCACATCCTTCTTTTTGCTACTCCATTGATTAAAATCCTATTCATTTCCAATTTTTGATCAAGGTCCTTGGATATTAATAGCATAATTAATTATTTGAATAATAAAATATTGTATTTTTAAATATATTCCGTAAGTGTTAAAAATGTTACAATTAGTATATTTATATTTATGGTTAAATTTTTTATCATATATTTTTATTTTTAGTTTGTACCTATTTTTAATTTGTACCAATTTTTTTTTAATTTTTAATTTGTACCCATATATTAGCTTCTTTTTGTGCCCATATTTTTTAAAGTTTTATTTGTGTTTGTACCCATATATATACCGTCACGTGATATTGTATATTTAATCAATGATGAAAAAATTACATATGGTATATTTATGTTTTATGCCTAAACTTTGTATCATATATTTATATTTTTATTTTGTACCCACTTTTAATTTGCAACATTTTTTTAAATTTGTAGTATTTTCTTTTTAGTTTTATTTTGTACCCATGTATTAATTTCTTTTAGCGCCTATATTTTTAAAAAAATCATTTGTACTCATAATTTTTTTAATCTTTCATCTGTACCCTAATTTATTTATAATGTACCCATTCTTCTTTATTAATGTACCACTTTGTTATATGTGAAATGTACCAATTTTTTTTGTAAAATGTACCGATTTTTTTAACACTATGGATACATTCTTTTGCCATTTATTATTTCTTATTTTTACATAGTTTTTATCCATTTATTCAATCAAAATGTTTGAATTTTTTTATTGTAACCGTTTCTAATGGTACAATAATGAGGGATTTTAAATTTATAGGATTATAAATCTCATAAAATATCAAACAATTAATGTCAAAACTATAAAACTATAAATATTAATTTTAATATAATGAGGTGTACAAAGTCAAGGGACTTTGATCAAACTTTGAATATCATTAAGGTTTTAGTCAAATAATGTTAAGGATTAGGGACCGCATCCAAAGTATCCCTAAAAACAAATTGTGATAGTAAAAATATATCATCTTCAGTCTTGACGAATTTGTACTTACAAAACAATCAACACATTTAATCAAAGACCAAAGCTTCACAATGCCCAAGTTAGTTTCTCTAAAATGAGTGAGTGTTTAGGGCTTGTTTATGTAGTTGCATACCAAAATTTGGAAGTGATGAGGGTATTTATAAGAGGTAGTGGCCGACCATGGTGTAGGGTTTTGACTTACACACGACGGCCTCTTATTAACCAAGCTATGTCATCGGTAAGGCGCGCAAAGAAAAAAGATTTTCAAGATATTAATTAGGAGATAATATCTTGGAATAATGGTGAGAATTCCTAATTGATTGCAATACGGATTCCTTACTTGATAGAGTTAGTTTGCAATTGAGAATGTACTAAAGATATAATTTAGTAATTAATCCTATATTTAATATCGTTGACATTTCCACGCCATAAGCAGAGCCTTGAGCAATCGTAGTCCAATGCATGCACTTCTAGGAATGCTAAGTTGTGCGTGAGAATAGAAATGTGTTGTTCCATTTAATGAGCAAGTCTTGTTTTTCTTGAGCTAAAGTCCACGTGTCACCTTCTAAATTTTTAGGATTATTTTTGGCTCCACAAAGTAGATCCTCGAAGATATATCTCGTTATCATGACTAATAGTGGTTGAGCGAAAATTTTATTTGGAGGGGGCAATATATAAAACTAAATTGAAAAAAATCCAAGGTTTAAACAATGTAGAAAAAACATTTAACACTCATTGCTATTTGTAGATTCAGTGGCACCCTTCTCCCCTTCTTCCTAGCCACTCAACCTTTCCTTCCACCTCTTTTCTTTCAGGACCGGATCTCAACTATCTCTTTCATCTCTACGAGATCTACATCCTCCCGGTGTTTTTTCGGTCGGTCGACGTTTCTTATACTTCGGGTTTAGCAACCAAACGAAGATCTCTTGTCTTGAGTAATTGGTATCCAAGTCGCATATTGTGTTGGGATGTTGTACACCTTGGCTCAACCTATGCACA